ATAATGTGCTTTATTAAAATGTTTAATATACTTTAAATATAAAAATTTATTTTCTAAATCTTAGATTGCTGTGATCAAGTTTTTTCATTATTTCTATAAATATTTTGTCCCAAACACTTTAAGATAATCTTACAGAACTCTTGGTTTAAGAATGGATTGTTTTTTCCTACAAAAACTAGTGTAAAATTTGTGTGTGTTGAAACACACTTGCCATATGCTGACTCAATCACCAATTTATTTGAATGTTTTTGCAGTCTTTTTCATTTTTTTTGTTTTGCATCCAACCAAATGGAAGGCATTATTTTTTGTATATGGTTTATAAATCAATGAAAAGGTTTGAGGTGATTATAGCAATACAATTCAACCATATTATGTACAGTGTTCTTTTTACTTAAAAAAAAATCGCAGAACATAGTCCCTATACAAATCTTCTCCCTTAGTGTTAGAACTAGTTATTCAGATTTAATTGGCAAGAGATTTAGTGTTTAATGTTAAAAATCTAATAAATTATTAGTATTTTGCCAATTATATTTAGTATCTCTTAATGAGGATAAATATATATTATTTAAGTTCTTAACACAATTCCCTAACATTATTTAATTTATTTACTTAATTCCACTACTATATTCCCATGGGGTTTTCTGTATCTCTGATTTTTTCTATTAGTGTAAGCAACAGAATGGCAATTCTACATGACCATGATTTGATGTTACTTTGGGGTAAAATAGGGGAAAATAGTTTGAAGTGGATACAAGACTGTGGGGCACATGGGCTTTCAAAGGTGATAGCACATATGCAGGGTGGCTCGGAAAGAGTTAATGATAGAATCAGCAGGATGGTGATGGAATGTTGTGTAGTGTGATGGTCCTGGGGGAACTCTTATTCCTCATCACTGACTTTCCCTAGAGGAGAGGAGGCTTCTGCTTCTCTTTCCAAGACCATGAACACTTCTGGTTTCTTTCCCTACTTCTATCCACTGGGACCACTTTACCAGTGGGTGGGGCTACCTTACTTTCAAAACAAGATACAGGGTCAGCTCTGGTTTTCTTTCCCTTGCCTGTCTCATGGATCACTAAGAAGGGCAATGGGCTTTATTCTGCTTGCTGCCCTAAGATGGTGAGATTCTGGGGTAAGAATCTGTTTTGGCATGCTTTCCAAAGGCAGCCCTGGAAATAGATCATTCTCTCCATTCCTCTGACTTTATTGTGAGAGAGGCTTTAGTCTGGCTGGGTATATACAGTTAGATTTACAGATCTACTTTTTTTCACAGGTAGGTCACAAGGTGCACATTCACTGAGAGGTAGGCCCTAGCCTCATTTCTAGTGTAATTTTGGCAGGGATTTTGTGGAATATTAGACACTTACGTGACTCATAATAAAGATGATATGTTAATGAGATACTCATTTGATTCCTTGTGTCTGTGTTCAGTTAATTATAACTTGGAGAAGATGGGTGATTGGTTTTCTGTGGCCTTCAACATTCATGGCCATGAATATTCAGAAAAACTGTAAATATAATACACTTGGTGTTTGGATTCCCCCTAAGGAAGATGATGAGGGACAGGGTTTGTGCCAAGTGGCCATGTGGAGAAGAACTTTAATGTCATGCAGGAAGCAAGAACCTGCTCTTCTATCCAGATTTCTAGTGTCTTCATATTTTGTAACCTGAAGCTGTTGACTTCATAGTCCTAGTGATGCAAAGTAACTTCAGAACTTGAGACAGAGAAAGTAGACATCTTCTAAATCTACTTCATAAATGACAGGTTTATCTTATCTCAGCTCTGTTGATAACTTCATGTTATAAGACATTATCTTTTCTTCTTCTTCACTGAAAACAGACCTTGGTATATAATTCTAAGATTGATCCAGATTCGTGGTCCTTCAATTTCTTTTATGTTTCTAAAGACGTGTGTGTGTGCGTAAACACTTCTATACAAAAACCTGTCTTTGCTTTACTTCCCCCTTCTAATCTCAATCCGTAGTCCCTTCTTTTATTAATAATCAGTCCCTAGAAGAGTGACTTGCAATATGTGTATATTAGAGCAATAATTCTTGCCAAAAAGTATTCAGAACTAGATTTATATCAGAATTTGAAATATAAGGGATTTAGAGATTCTGCAGACCTTATAATGTCTCCGTATAGTGTTATTTCAGAATTAAATGAGAGAAAGTAAAGAGCCTACAATCATTCCTGGCACAAAATATACATTTAATATTGTTAATACTGTCCATTGGGAATAGCAAAGATAGATTTAAACACCTGAAAAAGTATATATTTATTTTATAATTAAAAACAAAATAGAGGGAGGCCGAGGCAGGTGGATCACTTGAGGTTAGGAGTTTGAGATCCGCCTGGCCAACATGGTGAAAGCCGCCTCTAATAAAAATACAAATATTAGCCAGGTATGGTGGCTGGTGCCTGTAATCCCAGCTACTTGGGAGGCTGAGGTTCGAGAATCACTTGAACCCAGGAGTCAGTGGTTGCAGTGAGCCAAGATTGTGCCACTGCACTCCAGCCTGGGCAACAGAGTGAGACTCTGTCTCAAAATAATAATAATAATAATAATAGAATAGAAATCTCAAATCTATCTCCATACTTAATTTCTAGCTTCAGTGATGCATATGACTTAATGGACTAAGATCATGTTTCATCATAGTCATAGAACATTACAGCTGGCAAGGCCAGTGGAAGGCATCCGACATCTTTATTTTACTTATTCATACACTGAGATAGAGATTGTCTAATTGGTTCCCAAGATTCTATCACTCTTTTCATTATTTGCAGATGCAAAACAGCTTGATGAAATCTGGATGTTTAAAAAATCTGGATGTTTATTTTGGCCTCTTTAGATTTTTAAAAGAATGTTTTCACTTTTAATTTGCATGTTAGTTCCCATGTAGCCAAAGTCTTTATCCCCTTCAACAAAAAGCTGTGAGGTGCATTCATTGCAATGTCTAAAGAAAAATAGAAGTTAGGAGGTCACTAAAACCGAGTTTGAAGTTGAAAAATTAGCTTTGAGCGTCGTATGTCAGTAGAATGCCTGAACTGTGGAATTGACTCTTAAATTATTACTAATGGGTTTCCTGTTGGGGATGGGGTTTGCATGATTTCAATAAGATGACGTAGGACCTTAAGTCACCAACTCATCCATGATTAAATGTTGCTTGTGAAAACTGTGGGTGATTTTTAGCTCTGACCCATTGAATAATTATAGTATATTCTGGGAAAGGTGTGTTTTGCTTAGGTGGCAACATTAGGAAAAAGGAAAAAAGGATTTCCCTATGCCATTTTCAAAATGAATGTGATGGCTCCTTATCTCTTATTTCATTGGTCCGCTAGTCCCATTGTGTCAGGGATCATATTATTATAACATAGATCATCTTATTAAAACAGATTCTAAAACAGAAAACAAAACCAAAATCAATTTAAAAACTACACTAGCCAAAAACTATATACTTCAGGAAATCTCCATTAAGTAGCCATAATTTACCTAATACTTTGAATCATTCAAATGGGATCTCAGAACATAATGAATTCCATTAAAATGTTTTAATATACTTTTGTTATTTATCTCTGACTTTTAAGTTTCCCCCAGTTGTTTATTTAAAATCTTTGCCTACAGCAGACAGTGCTGGATTTGTGCCTTGGCTTAGTTACTTTCCACCTCCATTATCTTGGGGGTAATCAGTTTCCTCATTTCCAAAATAGGGATGAAAATGATACCTATCTCATGGGATTGTTGCAAGGGTTAATAAGATAACATGGAAAGCACTTAGCATAGTGCCTGGTACATAGTAACTAGTCATCATATATATGCAGTAATTATTGTCTGTTTTCGCTTTTCTATGGGGGGCAGGAACGTATATTGGGAAGCCCATGGTGTCTGGAGTCAGTTCTGGGGTTTAGTTCTGAGTCAGCCACTTACTCCATGTGGCATCTTGAGAAATTTAATTAACACTTTGAGCCCTATTTCCTCATTTCTAAAATGGATATAATAATATCCAGTTCACTGGACTGTTGTGAGCACAGTGCCTATTAAGTCCTCTTCCTAACAATCGATTATCAACAAGTGAACATTTATGAAGTCTATTCCAAGGACAATGCAAAGCACAAGGTGTAACAGGAAGTTTTAATAGAAAATAAACGCGCGTTCTCCACCACGGGCAAGGAGAACATCTAACAAATCATGCCAACCATGTACAATGAATTGCTGATGATATATGCAAATTAAAGTGGATCTCCAATCCATGCCCATTTATATTTTTCGAGTGTGGATGTGGAGAAATTTTCAATGAGAGCCCTTTTCCTGGTATTTTTACAAGTCAGCAGATCTCCAAAGCCCAACTAAAATATGGGCTGATTAAAGACTCTAGAAAAACTGGAACAGTCGCAAACTGTTCGGTGGCCGGTGCTACAGAAACTAGGACGAACCGAGCGTCTTCTTTCTAACCAAGGGCAGATCTCAGGCTCCCTCGGGGAGGTAAAGCGGAAGGGCGAAATGCCGGTCAAGTTGCCTAGACTCGGATGGAAGCTGTGGCCAAAGGGCCCCTCCCCCGTGTCACCAGCCTCCCTATCCTTGTCATGGAGGATTCTCCTCAGGCGTTGTGACAGACCCGAGGCGTGTCGCCAGGGGCCCGCCGGGCCGAGGAGGAGCCGAAGCGGCCCGGGGAACTCCAGTCCTCACACGGTTAACGCTAGAGGAGAGTGGAGGAGGGTCCCCGCCCACGAGAACCAGGAGAATCTCAGGGCCGAAGCCCCGCCTCAGAGGGCCCGGCCCCTCCCCGCCCGCCTGCCCGCCGCCCAACTCCCGGCCCGACCGCGGGCCGCACCTGCCCGCGCGCACACGCCCCCCGTGCGCCAGGCCTCGCCGCCGTCGCCGCCCTCAGCACGCGCCCGCTGCGGCTCGCCCGCACCGCCCTGCCTCGGCGCGGGCTACGGCGCACGAGCCGCCGCCGCCGCCGCCGCGCTCCTCCCCGCCGCGGACGCCGCCCCCGCGTAACCGCCGAGGAAGCTGAGGCGAGCCCGGGCCGGGCGCGAGGGCGCGCGGGCTGCCGCCGTGCTGCTGCCGCGGTTGTTTCCCCGTTCTCCCGCTCAAGCTAGGACGGTCTCTGCCGCCGCCTCCTCCTCCTCCTCCTCCGACCTCAGTCCTCACCACCCGCCTCCAGCTCCTCAAAAGCACCCCCGTATCCCCACCCCCTCACGCCCCACCCGCGGGAACGAGGCCTCGGGTATTCAGGGGAGTGGCTGTGGGGGCGCGTCGCGGCTCCCAGCTCGGCCAGCCCCTCTTTCAAGACATGGTCTGATCCCCATTGTAAAAGCTGCGCCCCGAAGAGGAGGAGAGAGTGGTGCTCCCTGCCTGGGGCTGCAGGGAGCTCTCCGTGCTGAAGCTCTTGCATTATTTTAGGGTGGGGCGAGGAGGGCCCTGGATTTTGGGGAGTGGGGGTGGGTGGGGAGGAGGACCCGAGGGGGGCAAGGACTCTGTGGGGGAGTCGGTGAGAGACTATGGGGAAGGACCAGGAGCTGCTGGAAGCTGCTCGCACTGGAAATGTGGCTCTGGTGGAGAAACTCCTGTCTGGCAGGAAAGGAGGGATCCTGGGCGGTGGATCCGGACCCCTGCCCCTGTCTAATCTGCTAAGGTAAGGACGAGCACCAGCTCCGGGGTTGGCACACCTCGTTATGCATTGTGATGGATATACGTCCTCCTCCTCACGGTGATTGCACCTGGTGGCTGCCAGCGATTCATTCTTAAATTAGGCAGGAAAACAGACTGCGTGTATGGAGAGGAGGCATGAGCCTCCCAGTCAGATTGATACCTTAGATTCTTTGAGTAATTTTAAAATAGCCTTCCATCAATGCGTCAGTAAGCTACTTTTCCTCTGAGCCGTGGTGCAGAACTTGTACATGCACTAGTGTTGCTTGAAGAAAATCAACGTTCTGCCCGCTTTCCATCAACCTTTATCATATATTTGCAGCTTTGAACCCAGCCTTTTTTTGTCTAGTTATATGAAATTGGCAGAGAAGCTCTTGCGTGCATGCAATTACCCTGCAAACACCACAGCCTTCTGTGGCTGCTTCCTTCTCTTGCAGAAGGCATTTGGTGTGCCTTTGGTTATGATCCCACAAAATGAAGTGAGTGAACCTTCTTTCTGGTGAGATGTCTTCAGTACAGGATGTGTGTAAAACTTGATGAGGCAGGTTAGGCAGCCCCAGCAGTACTTTCAGTTACCTGGACATAGCTGAGTGAAACTTGGTTATTACAGCTCAGGATGAAGGATACCTGGTCGGGATTGGAATAGTGTATGCAATATACTAGAGGCCTTTTAATGTGAAGATGTTGCAGGTGAGACTGGTATTGCTTAGAGAACCTTTCTAAGATGACATTTAAAAATTTGTCAAGGTCTTCATTCAGCAGTACCTTGTAAATAGCGGGGTTGATTTGGATACTTGAGGAACTATTAACTTAAAAGTTGCATTGATGGACATAGGAAATCAACTGGGAGGGAGGAAGCCTGGAGAGTATTTACTGGATAAAATTCAAGGGAAACTATTTAGTTTCTAAAATCGCGGCTATCCAATTTATCCTGGATATTTTTGGAGTCATCAATTGTCATTCATATCTTCACCTTAAAACATCTCTTGGATAATCCAACTATATTTGTAAAAATTTTAAAAAGCCCAAGTGATTTTCCTGGTTTTAAAAAAACTCTTCCATGCTTGCTACCTTTGTCAAGTGGTTAATACAAACTTTTGGGTGATGACATTGTGTTCTTTACACAAGTTCTCATAGGTTGTGGTGGTCAGACAGCATAATTAATTATAGGACTAGCTAGCAGGGAAAATGGAAAGCTTCCATTATAGTGAAATAAATTTAGTTGAAAGTAGTCGATGGGATTTAAAAAAGCCCCATATGTTATTCTGTATACTCGTTGACAGTGACATTTTATTGGAATGATAGTTCATGTCAGAACAATGAATATTTATAGGACATTTTTTCAATAGGTCATAGAGATGACTTGTGTGTACTCCCTTGTTAATCTTCATTTTCAAACACAGGTAGACAGTGTGTGCATATTTCATTCAGATTGCAGCTTTAATAATTGTCTGTAGTCACATGTAGTTTATATAAAAGCAGTTTATCTCATAGTTTTAAGTTACATGTAAAATAAAAATAATTGCCAGTGGATCCATCAGTTATAAAAATGATTATGTCTACAAACCTATATGCTGAAAGAGGTTTCTCAAATGATTTCTTTGGGAGAACAGGAGAAATTCTTTGAGAACAGTGAGAACTTCAGTTAATTTTATTGTGATAAATCATATTTTGAAAACATTCTTTGTGACAGAACTCAAAAGCAAACATCCTTTAAATAGTTCTTTCCCAGTTGTGATGTTAAAAAAGAATGTATGTCAAGTTTTAGGGATAAAATACCAAGTATTTAATGTTAGTAAACACCAAATTATCAAAATAGTGACCCCCAGTGTATATCTTGAATGAGAGGTTTTCTCTTTTGCTGTTGTTGCCAAAGGTAGCAGTAGTAGCTCTACAACAAAGAATGCACATAAAAAAGTAAACAACATGTGTGTATTAGGATACTTCGAACCAAGTTGTAAAAATCACAGACAAAACCAGTAACCTTTAAGCTTGCTTTTATCCATCTTATACTGAATAAACAGTGTCTGAAGACAATGAGAGTTGAAATTGTATTCTTTGGGTGATCATTTGCATAAAATGACATTCCTAAGAAGCCACATTTTATTTAGTTGTCACTGTATTTCAAAAATGATTGTCATCAGAAATTTATTGGCAGGATAATGAAAAATGTGGTTCTCCTATCAAACATAATGATACTTTGAAATTTCTGAAGGTTTTAGAATGAACTGTAGAAATGTTTGGTACTTTTCCCCCGACTTGCTTTATTACTTGGGTTGTGTAATAATGGTGTCAGGCTCTATGCTAAGTGCTTACATGTGTCATTGCGTTTGATTCTTATGTCAACCTTAGGAGATCCATTCTCATTTCACGGATGAAGGACTAAAAAGATTAAGGACTTGCTCATGGTGACATAATTCATGATGGCAAAGATTTAAAATTTTGTGATTCAGATTTGTTCTTACCACATTTTAAAATCTCATTCATTGAATCTGTTTTATTCACAAAAGTTTATGGCCAGTTTTGGTATATGGCCAGTTTTGACAGTCCAATTTGAACATTTTTTTTGCTATGAAGAATACTTCAATTTGAAATTCCTTAAATTTTGGTATTTTTTTTTTCCAATTAAACAAAATCTCACAACTGCGCTTTGAGGATTCACTAGACAAGAACTTTTCTGAAGATGCTTCTGATTACTTGTTATCTACTGATAATAAGAAATTATTCTTTGAGCAGTAGCTATATAATGGGGAATCAGGTATGCTTTTGGGTGGCACAGCAATTTTCAGCAAAAGTAAGAATGCCGTTGACTAAATTAAAAAACCTCCCTAAGCCTCATTGTTCTGTAAGAGTGGAAATAGTAATAGTGCCTATCATATAAGACTGTTGTAAGGATTAAATGAAGTATAAACTAATGAATGCAAAACATTTAGCATATAGGTGTTCATTGTTAGTGTTAATATTTTTCATGCAGCTCTAAAGTGCTTGACTCTATTCCTTAAGGCCTTAATAACTAAAGATTTGCTTCATATTGGACTGGGAGTAAATTTTCCATTACAATCATAGAATCTTCAAATAGAAAGGGACCTTTCATCCAACTTCTCACCTAGTGCAGAAATTTTCTTTGTAACATCTCTTAACTGTTAGTTATTCTAGCCCTGTTAAATCTTCCAATGGCTAGATCCAGTCTACTTTTGACAGCTGTAATTATTTAAAAATTTTTCCCTTCATTGAGTTAAAATCCACTTCCCTGTGCCTTTCAGCAGTTGGTAGTAGATTGGCTGTATGGGTCAATATAAGTAGTCTAAATCATCTGCCAGAATAGTTCTTCAGGTGCATGTATTTAGCTTTATTGTTTGCTTATAAATCTTTATTTTTCATGGAAAAACTATCATCTCCATTAACCTTTTATATGGGAAGAAATCATAGGTGTAAAGAACTTAGTTTTCATACTTTTCACTATCTTTTTCCTTCTTTACATATTCTCAAATTTTGCAATGATTCTCTTAAAATGTGGTGACTAGAAATTAACAAAATTCAGTAGATGTCTCTTGACCAGAGTAGAATATTATGGCTGAATTAAAAAACCAAGGACAACAGGTTACAAGAAGCATTTATAGTATGATCTTATTTTTGTAAGAAAAAAATAAGTTTGTGTGAACATTTATAATGTGCATTAAGAAGTCTGGAATGATAAGACACCAGAATGAAGATAGCATTCATCTTTGAGTGGTGGAATTGTTTGCATTTTCCAGTGTTCTGTAATGAATATGTACTATGTTATTAACATAAAATAGCAGCTATTAAAACATGATGCAATGAAATTATTATCTCTTTATTATTGATCAAAGACCTACCTACACGTCAAAATTTTCTGAGTCACGTAATGGTGTTGGTTCATATTGAACATAGAGTCAATTAAATTTTCTTTGTATTTTTTTTTTTTTTTCAGTGACCTATGAAGCCATGATTCCCCTTTCTGGTACTTTTAAAACTGTTGATTGAGCTTGAATTAGTCCTATTCCATTTTATCTGATTTGTTTTAGGTTGTGTTTGTAATTTCTCTAGATCTTTTTGACTCTTTTTTCTTTCTTTTTGACTCTGAGTTTGTCTTTCAGCATATTGACTTCTCTGTATCATCCAGAGATTTAATAAGGATGTTTTCTATAACCTGAATTCAACACACCATGATATATCCCCAAAGAACCTCTCTTCAGTTTAGTACAAATTTAAAGTAGCAATCTTTACTCATGGTATTTCTACCAGGATTGAAACCACGTAATAGACAATCAGCTATTTATCGCCATTGTTCCTGTGAGAATATTGTGAGGTATTTTATCTACTGCCTTTCTAAATTCGCACTGTGTTTAAGTTTATGGCATTCCTTTGATCTATCCTTTTAAATTCCATAAAAATCAGTCTCCTTTGTTATGGCTTGTTTCTGGTAGTAAGCCATTGGTAATTGTTAGCATTGGTGAAAATTCCTTCTACCCTCTTGCATATAATTCTTCTGGGTCTGGATATGCATACTTATTTAAAGCAGCTTACTGTCCCTTATGGTCTCTGTTTGGACCTTCAGTAATCTCCTGAAATTATTTGTTTATCCCTTCTGATTTGAAAATGGTCTCAATAGGGAAAATAGAAGCAAAATAGAATTTGGGAAGAATTAGATCCTTGGCATTGTTAGATATAATAGAAAATTCTCTTGTGGTCTACAACTACCTACGGGTTTTTTTTTTTTTTTTTTTTTAACTCTGTCAGAACTTAAGGTTAAATTAACTATTACACCTTCTTTCTCTTTTTCAAACTTAGCTAAAAAGGACATTAGCATTTTTCCTGGACAAGTATATATTTCTCTTTTGCGTTCACTTGCAGTTATACCTCTTACTACCCCCTTTCATCCTTAAAGAAATCTGAGCTCATTAGAGCACTAAAATTGAATTGCCTCCCTCCTTTTCTTCCTCCAGATTTTATGTGAAATTTCAG